TCTATTCCCATAAACCTAAATCAGTGTTATGACTGGAGAGGAAGTTTCTTTTAAAAATTAAGCCTGACCCTTGATTGTTTTCCATATAGTTAACTGAGTTCATCTTATCCTTAGTTAAGTAAAGATTTCTTCCTCCCTGAGTACGCAGTTAGAATAAAAAACAAACTAATAACACTATTAGTTTATATTTTCTCTGGCTGTGGAATCTGTAACTTTCAAATAACCAGGAAGCAGAAAAAATGGTGTTGCATTTTTTCAGTGGAAAGGTTTTAAACATTGCACTTCCTTATGGGCTATTTCTGTTTGTTTTCCATTTTCCAATTTTTAAAAGATGTTTATTTATTTATTTGGGTGGGGAGTGGCAGGGGCACAGAGAGAAGGAGAGAGAATCCCAAGCAGGCTCTGGCGACAAGGGGCTGGATCCCACCAACAATGAGATCATGGTTGAAATCAAGAGTCAGACGCTTAACTGACTGAGCCACCCAGGCACCCCTCCAATTTTCTTATAAGATAAAACTTCAGAGATCTTTATGATTCAAGTTAAAGAAACAAATGTGACACTGTCAATAATTTCATTTAATATCTGGATTTTTTTCCTATTTGTCTTCTGACTTTGGGAAATAAAGTGGTATTCGGAATTGACATGAACTAGGGTAATGCAGAAATTAGGGGCTTATTTTCCCATATTATTTAAAAATTTTTGTAGTTTTAAAATTTTTCCCCTTACTAAGAAAAAGCAAATGAAATACAGAATTATTGAGACTCTTAAAAACTGAGAACAAACTGAGGGTTGATGGGGGGTGGGAGGGAGGAGAGGGTAGGTGATGGGCATTGAAGAGGGCATCTTTTGGGATGAGCACTGGGTGTTGTATGGAAACCAATTTGACAATAAATGTCATATATATATATAAAAAAAGAAATACAGAATTATAGGCTGGTACTAAATCTGTGTATGGTATAAGAAGATCTGGCTCATGATTGACCAGTAAGCAAACGTGTCACCAATTTAGTAATGTTATTCAGAGTGATACCTATTCACTGCAGAGGATCAGAATGCCCCAGAGGGTTCTGTGATTCTTGGAATCTAGGAAAGAGTAAGCCTAAGGGCATGGATTAGGGATCAGGCAGCTGTAGGCTTCTGTAGTGTTTTGCTTTGGAGGTCTGTAATGCAGTTACACTGCTGATTAGCATAGACTGAAACAGGTTATAATTGTGAAGGCAAGAGCAGTCAAACCAAATAACAACTTTGTAGTCAAGGAACATTCAGAAGGACTGCACTGCAGTCGTCAGAGACCCACATCTCAGTGTTGTGGTTCACAGAGGACACACTGTTTCTGTTTTCAGTAGTCGATGGTCATTATTCAACGTGGGGCAAAATTCTTTCAACATCCTGTCCTTCTCTGTAACCTCTCCCCCAGCTGTAATTCTCCTAGGTTCTTCTCTTGTGAAGGCCACCCCTTACTCTGCTGTCACCTACTCCGGGAAGCCCTCTTAGACTTCTCCCATCAGAGTCGGTCACAGCCTTTCTGCCTGACTTTCATGTCTTATGTGCTTTCCTGTGACTGCTGTTGAGCCTTGAAGTACAGAGGAATATTTCTTTCTCTCACCAGGTTGTGAACTCCTCCTGGAGGGTGGATTCCACATTTTACCCCATTTGTAGCTCTAAACTTAGCAGAGTCAGAGCCAGGCACAAAGTAGACATTCAGTAGGGTGTGCTGATTTGAAACCAAATGTAACTTGAGAGCTCCTGTACCAGGCACTGGGCTGTGTGCTTACATATAATCATTACTTATCTGATCCTCAGAGGCGGAAGTTGTCCCACGTATGGTGTAGGCAGTAAGTAGAATTTGAATCCCATCTGACTCTCCTACCTTACCACCTCATTAAATGATGGGGCCTGCAACATAATAACGTGGCTAAAGACTTGAAGGTTATTGGTAATAAAGGCCATTTTGTACTAAAGGCTATTAAAAACAACAAAAAAAAGAGGCCCCAAATTCTGTCTTTGACTTTATTTTGAAGGGTTTTGCATGGTAGCCTCTTGTCTTCTGGACTAGACCATTTTGTGTATATAGTTGCCAGTTTTTCCAAATTATCTGTGGTGATTACCCTGGAATATAGAAATTAAAAGTGGACCACACTGGTAGAGGGTGTCTCTTTAACCAGAGTCTCCTCTTTCCGCCTGCACCCATTTATCATAGCTAATCCACACTATAAATATGGATCAGAATGAACATGTCTATAGTATATTTTGTAATGAGTATGTTATATAAAACTTACTTTTGTTTTTCTGAGATCATGGGTCAGTAAATTTTTGTGAATATCAAATAGCAATTATTTAAGGTTTTGTGGACCATGTATGGTCTCTGTTGCTTCTCTTCCTCCTCTTCTGTCTGTCTCCTCCTCCTGCTCCCGCTTCTCCTCCTTCTTCATTAAACCCTTTTAAAAAGTAAGTAAAAAAAAATTCTTAGCTCTTGCTCACAGGTTGTAGTTTGCTGACATTGTTTCTAGATTAAATGAGCACTTTAATTCATTTATTATCTCTTTTAAAAAATGTTTATATACTTATTTTTTTTTTATTTTTTATTTTTTATTTTTAAAAAAAAATTTTTTTTCAACGTTTATTTATTTTTGGGACAGAGAGAGACAGAGCATGAACGGGGGAGGGGCAGAGAGAGAGGGAGACACAGAATCGGAAACAGGCTCCAGGCTCTGAGCAGTCAGCACAGAGCCCGACGCGGGGCTCGAACTCACATACCGCGAGATCGTGACCTGAGCCGAAGTCGGACGCTTAACCGACTGAGCCACCCAGGCGCCCCCACATTTACCCATTTAAAGTAAACATTTTAGTGGGTTTTTTAAAAAGATTTATTTATTTTTGAGAGAGAGAGAGAGAGAGAGAGCATAAGTGGGGAAGGGGGAGAGAGAGAGGGGGACAGAAGATCTGAAGCAGACTTTGCTCTGACAGCAGCGAGCCTGATAACAGGGATCAAACTCATGAACCGTGAGATCGTGACCTGAGCCGAAGTTGGACGCTTAGCGGACTGAGCCACCCAGGCGCCCTTCAGTGGTTTTTAATATATTAACAGAGTTGTGCAGCTATCACCACAGTCTAATTTTAAAACTTATCACCTCAGAAAGAAACCCTGGACCCACTGGCAGTCACTCCCTGTTCCCCGTCCTAATCCCCACCCCAGCCCTAGAGAACCACTAATCTGCTTTCTGTCTCTATAGATTTGCCTGTTTGGGTGTTTCATTACAATGGAATAGTATAATATGTGGTCTTTTGTGATTGGCTTCTTTCATTTAGCATACATTTTTCAAGGTTCAGTCCTGTTGTAGCATGTATTAGTACTTCATTCCTTTCTATTGACTGATTATATTTCATCCTGTGGAGATGCCACATTTTATTTATTTATCAGTTGACAGACATTTGGGCTGTCCCATTTTTTGGCTATTATGAATAATGTTGCTGTGAACACTTGTGTATGGATATATGTTTTCATTTCTCTTGAATATAAATCTAGGAGTGGAATTGCCAAGTCATATGGCAGTTCTGTGTTTAAGTGTTTGAGGAAATGCTAAACTGTCTTCCACAGCAGATGCGCCATTTTACATTCCCATCAAGCAATGCATGAGGGTTCAATTTTTTCACCTCCTCCCCAACACTTCTTATTGCTTGTCTTTTATTTTATAACCATTCTGGTGGCTGTGAAATGATCTTCCATTGTGGTTTTGATTTGCATTTCCTAGATGATTAATGTTGTTGCGCATCCTTTCATGTGCTTGTGGCCATTTGGGTATTTTCTTTAGAGAAATATTCAGATCTTCTGTCAGTTTTTCAATTGGGTTATTTGTCTTTTTATTATTGAGCTATAAAAGTTATTTCTATGTTCTGGATAGAAGTCTTTTATTAGATATATTATATGTAGATATTTTCTCCCAATCTGTAGATTTTCTTTTACTTTATTGATGCTGTCTCTTGAAACATAAATTTTTATAAGTTTTATGAGATTCAGTTTATTTGCTCTTTCTTTTGTTACTTGTCCTCTTGGTGTCATATCTGAGAAACCATTGCCTACTCTGAGGTCACGAAGATTCACTCCTTTGTTTTCTTCTAAGAGGTTTATAGTTTAAGCTCTTACATTGCAGTGAGCAGTCTATTTGGAGTTAACTTTTTGTGTGGAGTGTGAGATATGGGTTTCCAAATTCATTCTTTTGCTTGTGGGTATCCAGTTGTCCCAGCACTAGTGGTTGAAAAGAATTTCATTTTCCCTATTATATTGTCCTGACACCTTTGTTGAAAATCAGTTGATTGTAAATATGTCAATATAAGGGTTTACCTTTGGACACTAACTTCCATTCTGTTCATATATATGCCTGTATTTATGTCAGTACCACACAATCTTGGAAACTTTGAAGTTGGGAAGTGTGAGTTCTCCCACTTATTCTTTCTCAAGATTGTTTTGGCAGTTTGGGCCCATTGTGTGTCCATATGCATTTAGGAAGAGCTTGCCAATTTCTTTTTTTAAAAGGCAGTTGAGACTTTGATAGGGATTGCGTTGAATCTGTACATTTGTAGAGTGTTACTAACTTAACGATATTAGGTCTTCCAGTCCTTGAACATGGGATGTCTTCCTTTTGTTAGGTCTTCTTTAATTTCTTTCAGTGATGTTTTGTTGTTTTCAGGGTACAAGTCTTGCATTTGGCTTTGTTAAATTTATTCCTAAGTATCTTTTTTATGCTGTTATAATGGAATTATTTCTTATTGACTATTTAAAAAAAATTTAATGTTTATTTTTGAGACAGAGAGAGAGAGAGAGAGAGAGAGCGAGCGAGCATGAACAGGGGAGGGTCAGAGAAAGAGGGAGACACAGAATCTGAAACAGGCTCCAGGCTCTGAGCTGTCAGCACAGAGCCCGATGTGGGGCTCAAACCCACAGACTGCGAGATCATGACCTGAGCCGAAGTCGGACGCTTAACCGACTGAGCCACCCAGGCGCCCCTTATTGACTATTTTTAAGTATATAAAGTGTAACAGATTTTTGTACCTGTTAGAGAAATACAGATTTTTTTTCTTCCAGTTCATAAAGGACAAAATACAAGGAAATGGAGTTTAGCTGGAAATGAGGAAGTACTTCCTGAGAATTAAGATTAAGGGAGCCTCTGGATTTCAGTGTATGGTTAAGAAGAGAATAGACTGGAATGCAGAGGAATCAGCTGAATCTTCACATTCTCTTTTCAATTCACTTAAATTAGGCTCTTACCTCCACTCCTTCCTTGAAACCACTCTCCTGGAAGTCACCAGTGATCTTCATGTTGCCAAATCCACAGTCCTGTTTGTCAGGTTGTTCAGTTCTCTATCATCCTGCTTGACCATCCTCATGAGCTTCATCAGCACAAACAAAACTCCCTTCTGGGACATATTCCTAAAACTCTACAGTCCTCTGGCTCTCCTTCTATCCCACTGTGGCTCCTTTTTCGTCTTCCAACATCTTAATTTGGGTCTAGGATTTCATTTTTCTATCTGTACTCATTTCCTTATTGACTTTATCCAACCTCATGGCTTACCAGATACCATCTAAATGCTGTTGACCCTCAAATTCACATCTCTAATATAGACCTCTGCCTTGAGTTTCAGCATTATACGTGTCTAAAACCAAGCTCTTGATCTTCTTCCTACCCCATATCTGTTCTGCCACCCCAGTCTTTCTTATCTTAGTTAATGGTAACCTCATCCTTTTACTTGCTCAGGTGAGAAACCTTGGGATCATCCTTGACTACTTCCTCTCATGCTCTGCTTATATCCCGCTCATCATCAAATCTCACCTTGGCCACACCTTTGGAACAGATCCAGTATATATGACTGCTTCTTACCGCCCACATTTACCACCCCAATCTAAACTGTCATCATCTCTTTCCTGGTTTGTTGCAATAGCTTCTTAGTAGCTTCTTGCTTTCACTCTTACCCCTCCTACAGCCTATTCCCAGCACTTTCTTCAAAGAACCCGAAGGATCCTGTTGAAAGGTAAGCTGTGTTATGTCTCTCCTCTGCCCAGAACTCTGCCAGGGCTCCCATCTCACTCAGAGGAAAAGCCAAAGTCCTTATCATGGCCTAGAAAGCCCCTTACCTGTCTTTTCCCATCATTTCCTTCTCTTCCCCTGGGTAACTGCTCTAGCCACACTGACAGTCCTGACTCACTGGTGCAAGCTGCTCCATTTGTCTAGACAGCTGCATGGTTCCTCTCCCACAACTTTGCATCACCTTTGTCTGAAACTGTTAAAATTGCATTTCTTATCCCCTCTGAGTTTCCTCCTTTCCCTTTTTTTTTTCCTCACAGCACCTACCACCATTAAATACACATTTTTACTTATTTGTTGATCATGTTTTCCCTATGAAGATATAAGTGTCACAAGAGCAGGAATATTTGCCTGTTTAACTGCTGTATCCTTAGTACCTATAACAGAGTCTGGCACAGAACAGAAGGTTAATAAATAAATTTTTAATCGGCGAATCAGCTAGTCCAGCTTCCTGCTAGTAGATGAGTATTTGTTGGTTTTGTTTTTTGTTTTTTCTTTTGGAAGATCCTCTTAGCTATATGTATGTATAAGCTCTTAATGGGCCTTCCAGTGGCTTTAAACCTCACAGCAAACCTGTGGTGATGTAGACATCATTATTTCCATTTTACTGAAGAAGAAGGTGCAGGTCAGAGGGTTTTCACAGGTTGACCATGATTACACTTCTGGTCAGATGGGCCTTGAGTCCCTGTCAGGTGGCCTCCAGCACACTGGTGCCTGTCCCAGGGGGTGCCCTCACAGTTGGCAGGGTAAGGAGGGCCACCAAAGCTCCCAAAGACGATAGTGAGGAAGCAAATGAAGTAAGGAGCTAGATTGGAGAGTAACTTAGCATCATGATTGAAGGGAATACATTGAGTTGTCTTTTTTTTTTAATTTTTTTTTTAGAGAGAGAAAGTGTGACGTGGGGAGGGGCAGAGAGAGCAGGAGAGAGAGAATTCTAAGTAGGCTCCGCACTGACAACACAACCTCATGCAGGGCTCGAAACCATGAGCCATGAGATCGTGACCTGAGCCAAAGTCAGTTGTTTAACCAACTGAGCCACCCAGGGGCCCTGACTTGTCTTAATAATTGAGAACAGAGAAGGCAACAAGACTAAGTTGCAATATAAAAGGAATGATTAAAGTAGAAGACATAAAATAAGCATTTTTAACTTTTCTGTCCATGTATAATTAAAAACAGAAGAGACCTTCACTTCCTCATGCTGGTAGAGGGCCATTTTTCCTTAACGGTTGGGAACAAGATGGCTTTTGGGCCTCTTTTCTTTAGGTCATTTTCTGTCTCATGAGACATTGGCTTCATGTTTTCAGGGCTGCTGATTAAGTGTACAAAATAACTCATAGAGGCTTAATAGAATCAGTATCATCCCAGTAATGCTTTACATTTCCGTCCCACAGACCAACCCTAACACTTGTCTTTGTCTTTCCTTTTTCTATACATACTTCATTTCAACCAACTGTTCTAGCTGAAACCTAATCAAAATAAACCAAAAGATTCAAGTATATCTTGTTTTCATATAGTTAATGAACATGTCATCTATTCATCATTTTCTCACTTAAAGAGAATTGGGGGTGCAAATAATTCTTTCAGTTTGAGATGATATTGACATTATGTAACAAATAATGCTGTATTTCTTTTATTGGATAGATATTGTCTGAAACATTATGAGACATAATTAAATATAACTATTCATTGAAATTAAAGAAATTTTTGCTTGTAAAAAATATTTGAAGGGGTTCTGGATAGCTGTTCCCTGTGTTCACATTCCTTCATGTACATACGTTTACAAATTTAGAATCTTTTCTAATCAACCATCCATGGAGTGTGTGGACAGAGTACGTCTTTCATTATGTGTCCTACAAGTGACATCATTTCTATTCATCTGGCCCCAGACACAATGTTAATGAAGCTACCAGTGAAAAACTTGCTTCTCAAGACATGATCAGATAGGATTCCTTCCCCCTCTTCCTCTTTTGCAAAAAATCTACCTGTTACATAAATGTTGCTTCATAGAATCTGTTAAAAGTGAGAGGAAAATTGATGGGAGTGGAGCAGAGGATGACTTTATGACTTTTCTTTCACAAGGGAACAAGTATAATAAATCTGTTACTTCAGAAGCTTCTGTTTTATACTCCACTTTACAAAATGGGGAGAACAGAAAACTAAAATACTGTTCAGAGAATCCTCTTTTCTCAGTAGTTCACTACTGAGTAAGTGAGTGAACAGAGTGAACAGTAAGTTCATTACTGTTGTAAATTGTAACTGCAACAAACAGTTGATGGCCAAAAGGATCTGAGCCAAGAATTTCTGATTTTCAACTCTGGTCACAAAACCTCTGAATTGGAGATCTGGACCATAAAGATCTGATTTGATCCCTTCCAGGATTTTCCCAACATGGAGACAAACACTGTGTTCAGTGCTCCTCATACCTGTTGGCATTTAGTCCTCACCATCAATCTTGATGCTGACTCACACCCGTGCATAGGAGGACTGAAGCCCAGGGATGGTTTCAAGTTGATGAGTAGAGGATGTAGGATTTGAACTGCAGGCTTTTGACGTCAGGTGTGCATAGGGCCACAAAGCATTGTGGGAATAGATGCTGTCCCTAGGATGACATGGATCTTGCACCAAAGCACACCGTGTGGAGGTAGAGCTTGGGTTGGAGGCTAGCATGCTCTCAGTCCCTGCCCCAGTTTGGCACCTCTGTGCAGGGCACACATTGACCCAAGTCTGAAGCATAGGCTTCAGCAGTGCTACTGTAGAATAAGTAGACATTTTCCCTGGCAGGATCTGTCCTTATTCATAGCTTTTACAGTCTTCTGTTGCATTGATTTTCTCACGATTCTGCTTTTTTGACGAGGGAGCAGACGAGGGAGCAGTAAAAGAGAATTCTCTTTCCTCTGTTAGCAGTTGTGTAGAGATTTGCTACCACATCAGGTTCTCTGTGAAGGACTAAGAGGGGCCCAATAATTTTCAACATATTTTGTATTGAACATAATATATATATATATATTATTCCTTTCACAACAGAACATTTGCCCAACAGTCTGTCCTAGAATTTTGTTAGGGATCGATGCCATATTTACCAGTTTATAATTTTCAGAATCTTACTCATTGCTCTTTTCTAAAAACCAGGGAAATATTCCTCTGGTTTCTATGACCTAACAGCTATCCATTTTTTCCCACTTAGGAACCCACACCAACAATCTCTCCACAGAAACATATGTAATTGCTTTTCATTGCAGTGGGAGTAATTCACTTGGGCCTTGAAGTTGTTAAGAATACCCTTCTTTATCTCCAGCTTTTCTAGTTTGAAGATCTTGCTGAAGGTGTTACAAATTAAGCAAAATAGTGAAGTGGCTCTACTTCTGTTTCTTAGTCTGTTTCCCCTTAACTCTCGTTTTGCTTCAGATGGCTTCTAACAATCATTTCATTTTAAATGATATGAGAAAAATCTCATTTCCCTGGCAGCGGGATCCTCTCAGTAGACCCAGTTTTGTTGGGCATTTTCACTCAGAGTGGTAGACTCAACATGGGTGAGGCTGCACGGCCACTGTCTGGCCCACTGTGGAACTTCTGTTTTGCTGAGTGGGGTGGGGCCCCAGAGGGTCAGAACTGTATCTGAAGAGAGGAGAAAAGAGACATTAATGAAGCTGGCAGAAAGGGAAGTTGTGAGCAGAAAAGAGGAGATATTTAATGGAAGATAGTATTTTTTTTCCTCTGTGGTATATACCATATATGGTATATGATTTCCTCCTGAAATCTTTAATAAGACGACTATGCCTTAATAATGCCGTGACATCAGCTTTCTCTGGAGGATGGGACGAATTATTTACTAAGTGTGACCTCACAGTGGGAGAGGGCTGAGGAGGGGCCTGCCCTGCCATTCACAGGAAAGTCTCCCATAGGTGTGGCTTCCAGAGCCTGGGGAATGAGTAAATGATAAGTTGTAATATCCAGGAGGGCCTACCGTCCTTACAAAGAACTGTTGTAGTTACTTGTGTTTAAAAATAATATCCAGTTTATGGAAGTTACACTTTTTAAAAGCCAGTTTTCCTTTTCAATTTACAAAGCTTATTGTTCCATTAACGAATGTAATTATTTTGTATAAAATAAGACGGATTGTTGAATAATTTTAGTTCATTGGGTTTCCACCGAACATTTCAAACTACATTTACAGGTATAGTATATTTTGTTTTTAAGCATTGAAAATGTCTGAGAGGCGGCCGTGCAGGAGAATTAGGTAAGAGGTGGGAGTGTCTGGCCCTGTGGAGCAGGCTCAGCCTGGAGGGGCCCCACATGCCCAGCTCATCACGTGGACCAGGGTGTCAGGCAGCAGTGTTGGCACCCCCCTCCCCCACATCCCATCCATCCATCATTGCAACCTGCACTTCTGCCTTGTCCAAAACTTCTGGTGTTTTCCACTCCCTGCTCCTCCCTGCCCTCAGCCCCAGGTCCTCCTGAACCAGTGTGGATCACAGCTCAGCCTCCCCTTTAGACTCCAGGCCTCCAGACCCCAAAGTGGCCTCAAGTGGATTCTGTCCCTCCCTCTGGAACTTCTCTCTAGTGCCCCTGTCACTCTCAGCCATGGATGTATCTCACCCTCCCATCAGGAAAAGCAAAAGTGATGCAATCTAACCAATATATGCAATTATTTATTTATAAATTATTACATATGCCACTATACGAATATATTGGATAAATCATAAAATACATGCCAAAAAATGAAAACTGAAAAAAGAATGAAAGAAAGAGTAAATAAATATTTAAAAATACAAATAAAAAATAAAAAAAATAAAATGTCTGAGGAGCAAACTTAATCCCAGAAAATAACCCCTAATAAATTAAACTTCTAAGTACAGTAATCAGATTATATCAGACATAACAGTATTTACAAACTTAATACATTTCTGATACATCTTGCAGCTTATAGATGACAAGACCATTATGACAGGTTTCCTAAAATATTAGAAATATAGAAAATACTATATATTAGATTTAATATATTAAAATATTAGAAATATTTTAAATGACAATCACTCAAACATTATCTTGTACTTCACACTAAGATAATACATGTACATACATGCTATGTGTTTGATTTACTTTGAGGCCTCTCCGCTTACTTTCTTTCCAGGACTGGTTATTCAACTAAGGGAACAGATTGACCATCTCTTGGTCTTGGGGAGCAGGCGTCCTTGGCCTTGCGCAGAGCATGTTTTCTGGGCATTTTTCAGCTAAAGCACTTGATGAGCTCCAGTCTGTGTCTGCTGCCTGCTTGGGTCCTGCACTGCCTGTTATTCTTGCCGGGCCTTCAGCCCCAGTCCATAGTCCTTTTAATAACATCGCATTGCATCCAGCATTCCTCCCGTGCTTCTGTAAGGGTGTCACTCTGATGACAGGACTGACAATGCTCAAAGGTGCCATTGGAGCTCTGGGAACCCTGAGCCAGAGCCATTCCTCACGTAGGCAGAGAATGTTGTTTTCAGACGTACGCTGGGGGAAGCAGAAACAATGAAGTCTTCTTACGCAGACTGTTATGTGCTACTCACTCATTGTAGGAAACTAATTAGTTTTACTTGAGCTTAAATGGCTTGTCGTTTTGAATATGAGTACTGTTTAATATATGCTTAATTCATAATGTGTTTCTTTTATGACTGGTGAAAAAAAATGGGAATTTAGAATACCCTGGAAATTAATTATATTACTCTTGAAATGAGTGGTAATGCTTACGTTAGTGACTTTTGGCCTTACACCCAGTTTTTTTTTTTTAAGTTTATTTATTTATTTTGAGGGAGAGAGCTAGAGAGGGAGCAGGGGAAGGGCAGAGATAGGGAGAGAGAATCCTAAGCAGGCTCTGTGCTGTCAGCGTTGAGCCTGATGTGGGGCTCAAACTCATGAACCATGAGATCATGACCTCAGCCAAAATCAAGAATTGGACACTTAACCGACTGACCCACCCAGGTGCCCCTACATCCTGTTTTTTGAACAAAGTAAAGATATTAAGCAGGTGATGTGTGTGTGTGTATATATGTATGTTTATTAAAATATATAATATATCTGTATGTATACATACATCATACATACATACATAATGATGGGTATATTTGGTATTTTACTGAAATATTTTAATATTTTATAAATAAGTCTAGATTTTAAAGTAAAGTTATATTCCTCATTAAGTATACAATTAGTATCTTGATTTTTTTACATTATAAAAATTTAAACATTATTACACGTAATTTCTAAGCATCATTTTAAACTTTTTTTTTTTAATGTTTATTCATTTTTGAAAGACAGAGACAGAGCATGAGCTGTCCCCACAGAGCCCAATATGGGGCTCAAACACACAAACCTTGAGATCGTGACCTGAGCTGGACGCTTAACTGACTGAGCCACCCAGGTGCCCCATAAGCATCATGTTAAATGATTGCATAGTTTACTTAACTGCTCTTTAATGTGTTTCTAGATTGTCTCCGCTTTCTTTTTAACTGTCATGAGCATCTCTGTTTACAGAGAGTATTTATTATTTGTGATTATTTTCTTAGGCTGGATTCCAGAAATGGAGTTACTGGGTCATGGGTAGGAATATATTTAAGATTCCAGTTACATATACTGCCAAATTGCCTTCCCAAAAGTTTGTACTAGTTTACTAGCTACTAGCAAATCTAGTACAAATGTTATATCTCTGTTTATTGGAAAGTCTTTTTTTTGATGATCATTATTAACTACAAATATTTATTCCTCTTTGGTGTTTCTTTTCCACAAGTATTTTCTTTTTCTTTTTCTCTTTGTTTTTCTTTTTCTTTTTTAGAGAGAGAGCACGCCAGTGGGGGAGAGGGGCAGAGGGAGAGAGAGAAAGAATCTTAAGCAGGGTCCATGCTCAGCACAGAGCCCAACGTGGGTCTTGATCCCATGTCCCTGGGATCATTACCTGAGCCAAAATTAAGAGTCGGATGCTCAACTGACTGAGCCACCCAGGCACCCCAACATAAATTCTTTTAAGGTAGAAAAATCTATTGGATATTAAAAATACTTCTGGGGGTGCCTGGGTGGCTCAGTTGGTTGAGTGTCCAACCCTTGATTTCAGCTCTAGTCATGATTTCACAGTTTGAGCCACATCGAGCTCTATGCTGACAGCACAGAGCCTTCTTGGGGTTCTCTCTGCTCACGCACATACACTCTTTCTCTCAAAATAAGTAAATAAACTGCAAAAAAAAATTTTTTTGTTGTTAAAGTCTTTATTTCACGTGGAGTTTATTTCAGTATATGGAATTGGATGAGGGGGCCTTTTTTTCTGCCTGACTTACTACCCAGTTTGCCTAATCCTTTCCCAATTTTATTTGATTGATTTTTTGATTTTTTTTTTTTAATATATGTAGGTTTTATTTCTGGGTTGTCTACTCTGGTTTGTTGTTCTGCTTGTCTGTGTTTCCACCACTGCCACACTGTTTAAATAATATAGTATCTGATAGGCGTAACCTCCCCTCCGGATTCTTCTGCAAGTGTTCTTTGTAATGCTTGCCTGTTTGTTCTTTCAGATTAACTTTGGAATACTTATGTTGAATTTACAAGTTATTTTGGGAAAAACTGGGTATTTAAACATGTTTAGTCATCCCAGTCAAGCACATGGCATGGCCTGTGTATTTACTCAAATCTTACTTTTCATATTTCTCACAGAATTTTCCAGTTTTCTTTAAATAGGTCATACGCATTTCTCATTATGGTTATTACTACTTATTTTATAGTTTGTGTTTTCATCTCCTTTTTCATATTTTTGGACTGATGACACCTGGTATTTTGATTTTGTGTATCCTGTGTTCACTCACTTTTAAATTAAATCTGATAGTTTCCCCTGTGATTCTACATCATCCAAAAATAAATATTTTATTATCTTCCTTTGTAATATTTAAGTGGCGGTGTCTGTCTCATGTCTTTTAGCATTGCCCTGAATTTCCTGAAAATTTTTGCAAGAACAAAACATTTTAAATGACAAAACAGTAAAATTTTAAATGAGTAAAAATGTATTGAATGTTGATAGCGGCATGATGTGCTTGAAGTCTTACAGACATTCCACAGAACCTTTATTAAACAGCACCTTTTGACACAACCTGGTTTTCCTGCACTGCTGTTTAAATTTACTTAGAGCACACAGTGGTTTAACCTGGGATCTCATGCAGCTTGCTCTCCTGACTGAAGGATCAGTCGATGAGGGGTTTTTAAATCTGAACCTGGCCACTGGAACTTTTGCATGTTGTCATGTCTTGAAAAACTACAAATGCTTTTGCAAACCTCCTTTGCATTCTTTGAGTCTCTGAGACATAGTTTACATTTCTCAGCTGTAGTCATTCCTAAGTACTACACAATGGGCCACATGATGCAGTTGTTACTAGTCCAGGCAAAACCATAAAAAAACAAAAACAAAAACAGGTAAAATATGTTTTTCATAATCTGAATTTATTCTGCTTAAAGAATTGCTCTTTTTCTGAAACAGTGGCTTTCCTTCTCTGTATAAACTATAGATGTATGCTAGGCTTTGTACTCTAGAAGCATAAGATGCTTTTTTTTCTTTTCCCCCAAATATTCTTAGATGCCAAAATAAAAGGTTGACAATTCTAGGTCAGTTCTTTGCTTTCCTCCCTCCACTTCTTTTTTTAATTTACTGGCCCAAGGCTGAAAAGAAAAGCTGATTGTTGATCAGGTTTTTGTTCTGGTTTTAAAGCTTGAAAACACAGGCAGTCTTGTGCTGACTGTCCTCAGCCTCACTGGGGGCATTTGCTGATAAAGAAGCAGGAAGAAGGGACAAAGCTTCACAGGCTGAAGCTCCTCCCCACAGCTTTCAGAAGTGCTCCTTTGTTTGGATTTCCATTTCCCTCCTAGTACTACCTCAGGGAGTTCCCTGACAGCCAGATGCTCAAAGGGAACTTTGTAGTGAAAGAACAGTGGCTTAAGAGTCAGGATATCTAGATCCAAACCTGGTAGCTGCCGCTCACTTACTTACCAACCTCAGGGAAGCCTTGCTTCCATCTCTAAAAGATAACCTACAAGACACTGTGCATGTTGGGTTTCCTATCAAAATTGTGGGGTTTGGGGGCAGGATCCACATCAACAACAGAGCCTGAAAAGGAGCAGAGTCTGAGGAGTGAGGAGTCAGGAAAACAGTCCCATCGTGGCCAGCCTGGCAGCCCTGGAGGTGAGGGAGACACCATGCCTGAGGGAGGATCTTGTTTGTGTCACCTACTG